ACATCTAAATGTAATCTGGGTGATGGTCATAAGATCCAGGTGTCAAAAATCAATCCAGCTCCACCAAACCCCATCTTGGTTGCAGTTTTCTCTTAGGCCATCTGTTTGCCTGCTAAATAGCAGACCATCTCTCTTTATTAAAAGTTATATTTTCACTGCTGTTTGCAGAGAAATGCAAGCAAATTCAAGTAACTGAGTGTAATGTCTGTATGAAACATGTACTTCAAAACGGTGATGGCGTGTTTCAGTAAATAGAGGGTGACAGTACTGCTGACCAAGACAGAATTACATGTTTGAAGGACACGTAGCTTAAAAGTACATGGTACGTGGACGGAGTTTATTGCTCAGTGCAGACCGTCTGCTCAGCCCATGCTACAAATCAGTTGCCTCCACATCTGCCTGTGAGGTTCCAAGCATCCCCAGATCACAGAAAGGTAGCTAGAACCCTTCAATTCAAGACAGGTGGCATTTCCAACTAGAAAAGGGGGCCATGTTCAAGGATATGATGCTCAAATTCTGAAATTATGCCACTTTTCACATTAAAGATATCATCCTCTTCACCAATTCTTGTCACTGACGTGTGCTCCACTGAGAGTTTCCATTTATTAACACCAGTCTCTCCTCAAAGCGCTGCTGTTCGGGCACTTTGCAAGTGCAAAGAATAAGCCTTAGGACCAGTTCCTAGCTCATGATGCCACATGGCAGGTGTTAATGACAAAACTCATTCTAGAAAAATCTGTCTCTCCATTTTTTGGCTCCTAGGAGGACCTTCACCCCTCTGATCCGAAGGCACATTTATTCTGAGGCCCATATGAACTGATGAGCAGACTGAAATTTCACATGTAATCCGTCCCTTCATTGGAAGGCTGTGTAATAGCCTTCTCCCCTCAATAACTATTTCCTAAGAGTGCTACTTTTGTTTCCAGACACCCAGAAATTCATAATGAGTGAAAAGTTTCTGGTTCTGACCACCACCCTTAATCTGAAGAACAATTTTGGAAGAAAACTATCACTTTTAGAACTAACTTCTCCTGCTAGTTTGACTAGAAAAAAATAAAATAAAATAAGGCCCTGCAAATAGCAAAACCCTCCAAATGGGGGAGTAATTACCTTAAATTAAGCCTTATTTCTGGTTTAACAAAAAAAAAAAAAAAATGCCCATCCAATTCTAAAAGCATGTTGTGCAGACTGGAGACATTAGAGTTAAATACTGGCCATTTTATAGTGAAAGGGAAGGAAATAGAAGGGAGGAAGGAAGGAAGAAGAGATTAGAGAATCTGACAGATGGAAATAGTCTCAGAGGAGCCACTATGTCCCAAGGCCTCTCCAAAGGGAAGTTTTTGCACCAAAGAATCTGGTAGCCTGAATGAAGAATGACCTCACTTATTTATTTAGCCAGAGCCGAGCTGTTTTCTTAAGACATTGAAATAACCTCATGCCACAGGCATTAAATTGTTGGCAAAGTGATAAAGATGTCTGTTTAATTTAGAGGCTTGATAACCACTAAATAAATACGCTTTAATTCCTTGGTTTGAGAGTGCATCTTAAGTTGCCTGCAAGGCAATGAAGAAAAAATAAAAAGCTCAAGCCTGAAGGTTAATGCCAGAAACTTGGCCTGATGTGGGATGCTGGAATTTGGGTATGTAGCTTGGTCGAAGAGTTGGGGATCCTTCCCTTGGAGATGGAGGTGATGGTATTACTTCTTCAGACACCAAAACCAAACAAAAATATTCTTACATCCTTAAATTCTTAAGAAAGGACCAATTTCAGTCTGGAGAGCTAGCACCCAAGTGCCAGAAGTCCCAGCTAGAGCTGCTGCAATCTGAGTAGCCAATATGTGGCAAAAAAAAGTGATTCATATCACATCTGGAATAGCTGAAATGGGTGTGTATGGCACCCATGTGAGGCAGGGCTGGGGCTGGTACCAAAGGATTCAGAGTGCAGTAGATGTAAGATGCTTTTCTGATACCAGTGATGCAAGTTTCTTCTCTACCTTCACCTGTTAGTCCCTACATGGATTATACATCCCATCTCTCAGGAGCAAAATAAAAGGCATTTACTCTTAAAATGACCAAAATTGTCAATGCTGACTGGCATTTTTAGATATGCCCACTTATGGACACTTGTATCAATATAACAGTGAGTTCAATGCACTCCGTGCACGGGTGCAACCCATCCCTGACAAACCCAACCTTTGGTACCTTGGGGAGCAAGGGGATGACAGCTAAAAGCAAAAGAACCCCCACACTTTGAGAAGCAAAGAATTGAGGGGCCCTGAGACCATCAACCAGGTCAGCAAAGAGGAGGCACCACATCCTAATGCTCTCTGAATCCTTACCTAGATGGAAAGGATGTTGAGCCCAGAGGCAGCGAGGCAGAAGCCAGCTTTAAGCTGATCTTTGGCCACAAGGACATTTGTGACTTGACCTGACTCATTGAACTATTGTATTTTTTTCTGTCTATAAAGCCTGATAATAATTGTAACCTGTTTCCTCAGGAGTTTGTAAAGAATAATTAATGGTAATGTGCTTTGGTTGTGAAAAATGCTGTGCTACGTGGTATTGTTTGATCTTCAGGTGAAGCCTTCTTACCCTTTCCTTTCTCATCCCAGCACACTGCTGTAGCACCACAACCATACAGAGCACTTTATGTGCAAATTAAAATAACCCTGCCCTTTCCTATGAGCATTACAGTACAATTTAGCCATACGTTGTGATGCAGCAGTGGTGAGATAGTGTTTTGAAGATTGTGCTTTTTATATTTTTATTTCAGAATTATCAAGGCTTGTGCTAATGAGTTTTGCCTTGAGTTGGGTTTTACAGATCAGTTTTAGTCTCCTTTTATCACTGTACTGACTGATCCTCATAAAAGGCAGAGAGCTTTTAGAGCTGAAAGAAACAGCTTTTCATCATACAGGGTCAGGAATAGTTAACAGAGACAGAGGTATCAACATCACTTCCTTCCCTCTGGTCTTCAGGTGCAGTGTGTTTATTATGTTCTAGTGCGAACAAAATTCAATCTGGCATCAAAAAAATACAGAAAAGCACCAGATGCCCAATTCAGTGAAAAGACAACGAGGCAACGGAACAGTGCAGTTGAACATTACAGCTTTCCAGCATTCAGAGTGAAAACTCTTCCCACAAATCTGGGAAGAGAAGAGAGCTATATGGTTATTATATAACTGGAACAACTTTGTGCAGAGTTGTCCTTTGATTGCTTCCAAGACCAGAAGGGGAGAAGTAGCACTGTTCTCTGTACCGGAGTAATATGAGCTGCAATTTTTGCAGCTCTACTTGAGATTTTTGGCTTTACTTCAAATCATGGCTTGGTTCAAGGGTGGGCTTCCAATACCTGCCTATCACAGGGATTTCAGTCTATTCAGATGTATGGTATGTTCAATCCATACTACATATAAATCTGTGAAAAATTAAGAATTTTGAGCATGTTTAGTATAGAACAGTAGTTCTGTGCTTCCATACACTGCACTAGTTTGAGTGCAACAAGCTAATTACAAGATGATGTCATGTGGCTGAAAGAAATACATGTTTATTCCTTCTGTGTTTCATGATGCTGACTTTCTCAATCGCCCTTGTAGAACTCATGCATACCGTGCTTGCTGGGCCAGGGCCCCACCAGATAAAGGTATGTTCTTTGCTCTGCAATTTGTAATTATGAAGTTGAATCTCATGTAAAATCACTTGGACTTGGTGGTTTTTGCCAGGAAAAAAAAAAAAAAAAAAAAAAAAAAGAATGAAGTAGGAAGGAATGCTGACCATTTATTGTATGTCATAGACAATGTGGCGTGGTTCATTGTCTACACAAGTTAGCAGTAAAAAGGGGAGACAAATGTATGCTCAAAGCTGGTTTGGAGAAATATCATGATTCCTGTCTGAAAATGCAACTTGATTTTTTTTCCCTCTCGACTGCCCATTGGGACAGCTGCTATCACTGACTCACATATTGCTGGTTTAGCTCAGCAGCACCTAAATGATGTACCATTGTTCTATTTTATTGCAAAAGTGATGTTGAAGAAAATTGCTCATGCCTGAAGAGTTTATAGTCCTGAAGCAAAATAATTTAATGATGGTGTAAATGGAGTGTGTGTCCCTTAGAAAAACCCCTCTGGAATTTGTGTCCCATGTCAATGTCCCAAGGATGTCTTGTGCTCATTAATGTTTCTCTGATGTAAGGACAATCTACAGAGTTCCTCTGTTTACAATTATTTCTCTGGGTACAGTATTTATTTTTATTTTTGAAAGAACTGGAAGTGTGTAGATTTGGTAGAATTTGGATAGAACACATAATATGTGCCAATCTGAGCCCAAAATTACGCATGGCTGTATTAGAGTTTTGGTGGTGAGCAGTGTTCGTGTTAGGTTTCTGCACAAGATGTTGATGACACCTGCTAACCCAGTGTGTAGTGCATCTCAGCCCTTCCTGACCTCATGGCAAGAGTCCTTTGTCTCAAAGAAAGTGGCCTTACAGATGAAGATAGGCATAGGTCTATGATATTACATTGTAAAAAAAAATTGACATTTGCTTTGCAACTCTTGAAAGGGAATTCTGTATTTTTATTTATTTCCCAATGAGACAAATATGAAGCAATCAGATTTCAATTAAGAAATCTTGATTGAAAGTTGATGGACTTCTCCTTTGCTGTGGCTTCACCAGTTTGTGAGCATCTGATTCAGAGTCACTGGGAGGAGAAGGGGAGCTGAAATCTGCTGAGGATTTTTTGTTGTCATTGGAGAAGGAGAAATGAGAATATTGATGTGGAGCTCAGAGCTGCCAGAGTGGATGTTTTTCATGACAAATGTCATGCAACGAGTGAGAAGTTACAGGACAGAGCTTCGTTAGAGATGTGTAGGTTATTAATTGAAAATTAAGGACCTTGATGTCCTCTATCACAGATATGTATTTCCCTGATTGGAGTCAAGCCCCAGGCTGTTCTGTAATTCACTTGCTTTACAGCAAACTAGCTGAAAATCAATGAGTCTTCATATAATTAATCATTGTTTCTACTTTATTAACAATGTATTTAAAATTCAAAATAACAGACTGATATTTTGAAAGCAGTATTACTTCTCATTTTCTACAAGGAAAAACATTGCATAAATAATTTCTGAGAAAAAATAAATACGTAATTCACTCTGTGAAACAATAGCTTTTCTCTCTAGATTCTGGTCCCACATAAAATTATTGCAAAATTCTATCAACATTGCAAATTTCCATAGTTTATATGATTTCAGCATATATTCTACATAGAAAATAAGAACAGTGGGGAACTGTCTTTATCCCAAATTGTGTTGATCTGATACTAGGCCTAGCACTACTACAGGATATATACAGCACGAGACTATTCACTTCCCAATAATATTCTTTAACGTAAAACACAAACATTAGTCTGAAAGTTGAGAAGCTAAGTAAAGTAAAGTTGCTGTCAAACTAAAGACTTACCAAAGCCGCACATACCAAAGACTTTTCTAGAGGAATTCACAACTTTCAAATTAGCAGAGGCTCACTTTTCATGCAGAACCTTACTCCCAGAACTTGGCTTGCACGGTCTTAGCGCTACAAAGTGTGTGGCCAGATAATTCAAACTACAGAATAGAAAACATAAATTGAGATATCTAGGTTGACACTAAAGTCAATTGTGTGCTAGGAAATAAGGAATAAGCAACATCTCTTTATGTTAAATTATGCACATCGTTAGCTGTTTACAGGACAAACATCAGTGAGGTTATCTGGTTTGAGGGGAGCATTCATTTCATAAAACTGCTCCGTTTAATAAAATTTGTGTAATTGTTCCTAAAACAAATCCTTGCCCCTAAAACAAATAAGGTGGCTTAGTTGCCAAGTTTCAGTTTTGAATCTGTTGACCCTAGAGTATTCTAATTAAAAGTGTGAAATAGAATTGTCACACTTTCATTTTGAGAAAACAAGTGTTGTATTTTGGTTTTCCTCCCTAGAGGAAGCAACTGGGGCATGAGGACACCTGGCAGGCTGCTCACTTCCCAACAGCCGGGGTTGAGTCACGTTCACTGCTAACTTTCTGCAGCAAATTCAGAGCATGGTGCCTCCCCCAGTGCTCCCCCCGCCTCATGCTTGTCCTGCATCATGGCACTTGGAAAAGTGGGAAAGGGATCGTGGTGCTCCCGTCACTTACAGGGAAGCCGAACGACCCCTAACAAAGTGTGATAGTGATTGTCACCGTAACAGCTTCGCCCTCCTCCACCTCCCTACGTGCACAAGCCGCGAGGCCTCATGCGAATCTCCCAGGTGTACCTCTCCTCTCAGACTGAATTTAGGTGTTGCTACCACCAGCTCGGTTTATCTCATTCTCTTAGCAGACCGTGACTGCTGTAATCTGACAGATTTTGACTATGTGAGCCTTTGACCCAGCTTAGCAGAAGGAATTGGAACCCACTGCAGTCAGAACCTCATTCTGCGGCCTGTGAGTGCCGGTTGACGTTTTGTAAAATATCCAGAGCTGCTGGGCTGTCCCACTCGGAGCGACCTTCTAGTAAGCATTTTCTAGCTCGTGCTGGTTTGACTTGCTGCTCCTGGCTCTGGACAGACGGGGCTTCTTGTTCTTCTGCGGCCTGGCGGTCTCCTTTCCAAAGTCCTTCAGCTCAGACTGGTTGTGGAAGCGAGTGTAGCGCTTGCACTTGCAGGCCGTGACAGCTCGGAATTTGTAAGTCCGAGTCTCTTCCTCGGGACAAGCCATCTGGATGCGCTGCGTGCGGGTGTGAGCGGGGATGCAGCGGTAATCCAGGGCGTTCTGCCGCCACCACTTCCCCCGGCCGATGGAGTTGGGGAGGAGGTGGGAAGGGACGCACTGGCCCGAGCACACCAGCTCCTTGACGGGCTTGATGCTGCGGCATGGCCCCTCCGTCAGGTAGCGGGTGGTTCGCATTTCTCTGCAGCTGAAGTCGGAAGCATCTGAAAACGAGAAGCCCATTAACATCTGGCTACTTCGTTCCCCATCCCTGAGAAATCAGCCTTCTCGGGTCTGCAGCACCTAGCTCAGACATCCCCAGTGATGGATGTGGGGAGAGGGCAACCCAAAGACCCGCTCGTGGTGTCTGGCTGCTCCAACTGTGACCCGCTGAGTACAGGTTGACCACCAAGTGGCCACCAAGTGACCACCAAGATCCTGCCCTTGCCACCAGGCAAGCTCTGTGCCAGGCCGTGCCAGTGGGCAGCTGAGCTTCTCAGTACAACCCCAGTGGCAGCGGTCACTCTGAGGGAAGTTCTGTTGGGATTCTGCTGGCTTCGTTTACCAACAGGCAAAACCTTCCCCTACAGCTCCTCATGTGAGGCCTACAGCACCACATGAGGTCAGGTTATTGACCTCAGAGGTTCGCTCCTGATTTAAACTCTTCTGCAACAAGGAAAGTGCTCCTGAAGTGAGCTTTAGTGTAACATGTTCCAGGTGAGGGAAAGCAGCAGATAACAGCAGTGCTATGGGATTCCCACTCTTCAGGCATTATGTTTTCTAAGTTTACTGCTCTCTAATAATCCCACAACCCACATAATTTCCTTCAGACAGCTAGAGGCATCTCCTGGCTGATTAAGAGCTTTATGGTGGTTACTCCTCCTCCTTTTTTTTTTTTTTTCTTAATGGATATCTATTGGCAAATGAAACATTAGGAAATAAATATTAAATTTTTAGCATGCAGGATTAAGAAAAAGTTTTTTATTGTAGGGCCCTTTTCCAGAGGGGTCTCTTTTGCCAGCTGGGATGCTTTGCCTCTTGACATGTTTGCAAGACACAGAATTTGATTTCTGAAGGTGTTTATCAAAGAACTTTATCTAGATAAACACACGGTGATGTTCTTCTGTTGGTGAAAAGGATGGTTTTAAGTCCAGAACACCGCTTGGGATGGAAATCCTCAAGGTCAGCTTACAAATGGAAGGCTGTGTCTGTCAGTCCCGGTCTCTTTGCTGTGCACAAGGTGCTCCCCCCCTTCCCTTGTGCCTCCAAAGAGAATTCTGACCCTGACTCGTGAGCAGCAGACCAGTATTTACACAGATGTTTTCATTCTTGTTTCTCCCATGGAGAGCAGAAACTTGTTTTTAGTGCTCAGGTTTATATTCATCAAAGTACAGCATGTAAGACTGGATGTCTTAAAAGTTTTAAGGACTGTGTTAATGAAATGAAATGGTCCATGTCTGAATCAGGTGCTTTGTACCATCATAGCACATAGGCAGATACAGTGAAATATAAGGGTATTTGCCTCAGCTATGAAGGTTTCTTTTCTGTGCATATACCTCCTATCTTGTATGTGCATGGGTTCCACAAGCTGCAAAATCATTTATGGTGTTCTGCAACCTCATGTGTCCCTGGAAGGTCTGGCTGCTTTTGGGGGATTGTTTTGATTTCTTGTGTTAAAGACGTAAAGTAAGCATGTGAGACCATTGCATATCCTGAATAATGTCCAATCCCCTTTTCTTGCTCTTTTCCACCTGAAAACCCATGCACATTTCAGTGGCACAAATTCCCCAGTTGCTGCCAGAGTGGTCAGAGGCTGGAAAATGAAGGTTTTCAGATGTCACTGCCAAACCGACCTGCCTTGACCTGGCGGTTGGTGGGAAGCAGAGTGCTCCCCTGTTGGGGATTTCAGACTTTTATCAAGTGGCACTCTCAAAAAGATTACTCTTTTTTTCCTCCCTTTTAAATTAGTGCTATGCTATAAACACCCTAACTGACAGCTAGAGCAGAAAACCACAATTCCCTTCCAACTGTCCTCAAGAAAAAAAAAAAAAAAAAAAAATTAGCTAGCTCAGATTTGCAACGCACAGTAGTGGAAACCATATGTTTGATGAGCTGCTACGTGCATTTGGCAGCCAAATGTGTTGGTCTGAAGGACCAAGCTTGCCCAGTTTGCCAGGAGGGCTCTCTTTCTAACCACCTGTCTGATGCTAACTCCCTGCCTTCCATCCCTCCTCACAAAGCTGGTGTTCTGCACCATTGCTAATGCCAGACATTTGCCCAAATGCAGCACCAGCTTCTCTCTGAAGTGTGTTGGTGCCTTCAAAGTAGCCAAATCGCTCCCGAGATTGCACGTCCCTACAAACCAGGATCCCCTCAATTCATTTGAGCACGAATTCCCACTGGGAGGGCTTTACCTCTTTTTTGGCTACTGGAATGTGGCTGAAAATCTGGCTGTTAGCAAGGGGCAGCGAGCAGCACACCTCTCAACTGGCTGAGAGCAACCTCCCCGTGCCTCTTCTGCTGTGTGATCTCCAACATCCCTAGTCAGAACCTTCCTCAACACTTAGAAACCATGGTATTATTTTCACCTCCTACTAAATTCCTTAATAAATAACAACAATCTGGTAACAAGTACACTCTTACAGCTGCCTGCTAGGGTCCGAAACAGTAACGTAATGTTATTTTTCTTACCATTAGGGTCTGGAGCTTGTTGTATGTGTCTTCCCCCATGCTTTGCCTGGTTCATTGTGTTGTTGTTGCTGTAAGCCTGCTCCATCGGTGTTTCTGTATTTTCGGTGATCTCAGGAATGATTTCTGTAGCATCATTTTTAAACACTTGCCACCCTTCCACGGATCGAAAGGCGATTTGGATTAGGACGCAGACAGAGCACACTGCCCAAGAGATCTGCATGGTGGCAGCCCACAGATCAGCTTTTCAGCACCCTGACAGCCTCAGTTCCCAGCAAAGGCAAATTATTCCCCTTTTTTAAATCCTTTTTAGAAGCAAGCCAGCCAATGACTATACAAAGTGGGAAGGGCCAGACAACAACTCATTCATCTCAGCTTTTGTCAGTGTGAAATAAAATGGGTGTGTGGGGGTGGCTTACTGACAGTATTCTACAGCTTTGACATGAAAACTTCTCATATTCTTCATTTTTGTGCCTGGCAACGATGCTAATTGACAAGATAGGGTGAATTGCAGCCTGACAAGTCTTTCTGCAGGTTTCTATGTTTGTTTTGTGTATTTTTGTTGTTAGTGTTGTTTTTTGTTTTGTTTTATTTGGTTGTTTAAACAATGTTATAACTAAAACCTGCTTCTACCACCATATTTGAATCTTTGGCTATTGTCTTTTGCAAAGGTTTTTGAGACTTTTTTTTTAAACTCTTTTTCTTCTCCCCTCCACCTCCAGGTATAGAGGAAGCAGACCTAGAAACAGTAGCTCAGGAGTTATGTTTTTCAGTCCCTGCAGGCAAAGGATTGGGGAATTGCTTTTTTTTTTTTTTTTTTTCCTCCTTTACAAAAAAGGAGCTCTACATTTTGTGTCATAAATGTACTGGAAGAAACAGGAAAGAGCTTCTTTTCAAAATGAGAAGTTGTTTTATTTAGCTTCAGTGTGTTTGTCAGGGTAAGCAGCCAGGATGGTGCTCACCATGCTTTCTGAGGTGCTCTCCCTTTTTTCCTCTTTTTTTTTTTTTTTTTTTTTTTTTTTTTTTTAATGCATTGGCTGTAATATCATTACTTCCTATTACTTCTGCTGCCGTTTTGCACAAGTGTTGAATACAGGACATTTGATTATTCTAAACACAAGAACACAGCCAGACTGATTTCTGTGAATGATGCAAACAAAAACAGAGAGGGAATTGGTGACCTTATGCCTCGGGCACCTATGCCTAAGCTTTATTAATGTATTGTGTTTTAAAATCTCATCTGTGGTATTCTTTTTCCTTGCAGAAATGAGATGATAATGCGGCCAGTTGCATAACTTCTGCAGTTAAAGAGCACAAACATTTCCGAGGTATTTACAAAAGATGGCAGGCTAGATACATAAATCAGAAAGAACCTCATGTTTTAGGAAGATTAGATACCGAGCTCCTCATAGCTCCTGAAAGCAAATGTCTGCTTAGAGCAGTAAAGGGACACTTGAGCATGTTACTGCAATGTTTGTCACATACATCCTCGTGAAAATATTTCATGTACGAGAGATTCCAAAGTGATTCACTGAGCTTCAGTAATTTTAAAGATTACTCGGAATGTCAATAACAGCCTCTGACTTCTCCTCTCTCTCTCTCTGAACGCTGAAAACAGTTGGGGCTGTCTGGTTTTTCCTTATTACTGTAGGGAACTCGTTACCTAAGGCTTACATTCCATTCTGACAATTCCCCTGACCCGGCAGGGAAAACAGGTGTCACCAAATTTAAAGTGGAGGTGGATTCTCCCTTGGTGTGACCCTGATGATAAATAATACAAACAACAGTAATGACCGGAGGACATTTCACCTCTTTGGCCTTCCACGCTCACAGACAGACACACACAGAGCAGACACATTGCTGCTTCTGTGCTGGATGAGCTTTAGCCTACCTGTTCTGGTGGTCTTTTCCTAAAATACCAGCATCTGAAATATCCTGTGACACGCTTTCTCTCCTACCCCTTCTCTCTGACCAAGATCAGAGAGATTAGCAAGTCTCGGAGGAGCCTTCCTTTCCAAATCCTCCGAAGAGTCTCTAAAAGCAGTGGGGCATTGCAGTGCCTACAGCTGGTGCACTCACCGTCTCTTCTCACCTTTCCCCTTCCCACACCCCAAATCTGATTCTACCAGCTCAGGATCTACACTGTTGTTATGGGGGATGCAGCACACAGTTTTCTTCATACATAACATCTTTCTGAACAGCCAGAATTGTGATTCTTTAACACAATTGTTGTCACACAATTTGCCTCAGATGTGCTGTTTCCTTTCTCCCTATAATCACCATCAACAGCACTGATTAGCTTTCATTAATAACTTCCTCTTTTACTCTAAACAGATAATGATGGTCTGGCAAGCCCGAATACTGAGCCATTGCAAAGGTTTTTCCAAGTATAATTTCCCTCACTTACAAATAAGTATTTTCGGCTTAGAGCTACAGGTGAAATGAATTCAATGCCAGGGGGGCACACAGCTTCACGGGGCATCACCTGATTGCCCATCAAATCAAAGGGTTTCTGAAGGACAGACAGCAGCCTGGAAAGCTGTGGAATCAGCCTTATAGGATTTGTGTGGTTTCTATTTTTGTTTATTTATTTCTTCCAAGAACAGGCTAGACTGTTATCTATATTTCAAGTTATACTCGAAATCGTGTATGATGATTGCTTGAGCTCTGCTTTCAGGCCTTATAATATAGATATGTGATCTTTTTCTTTGTTTGTACTGAATAAGGAGGTAAGAATGACCAGGAACTTAACAGGGTTTGTAACTTTTTATTCTTCCTGTCAGCTAGGAACACCACCAGGACAGTGACCTCCAAAGTGGCCCCACACGGCTCATGGCTCTGCAGAATACGGCCAAAAGGCAGAACAGGAGAGCACAAGAAAGTTAAGTACTCACAATCACTGAAACTTTGCTATTTGTTACCCTATTTAAATGTATTTGAAACTGTACATCTTTGCCTGTCAAAGCTCAGTTTCTTTTAATTTCTTTTCGTGTAATGTCTGCATGGAGAATGTTTCCAGAAGTTATCATTGTCAGCCTAATCCTACTACAAAGGAGCAAACTCACAGTAATCTCTTCCCAGATAAAACATAAAAAGTTTCTTCAGGTAGTTTCTCTAAGTACTTAAACAATCCCCTCTCTTAACTGTCTTAACATTTATCTGTATCACCCAGTGGGGAAATAATACGAAAACTATGAAAGTCAAAACCAGAAGCTATATTTAGCCTCTGGCTTAAAACCTCTTGTCCACGATCCAGGAGAGCAGCCTAATAGAGGCAAGAAAAGAATCCAAATCCCATAGACATTCAGATTCCTTAACTACAAACACATTCTTCCACATCCTGTAGCTGCTTGCCTGCTCACAGCACTTTCTGCACCAAAGCAAGGAGAACAGTCCGGGCTGTGGCCCCCGTGAACAATTGACTTTTGCTCTCTTAATGAAGCACAGGATTAAAAACACAAAATATTTGTGACTTATATCAAAGGACACTGTGAGAATGACCTGAGTTTGGATCCACTGTAATCAGAACTGGGATACTGTTTTCTGAGCTGGAAAAACACCACCCTTAGCGTTGCTAATAAAGAATCAGATACTTGATTCTACGCTTCTAAGTTATTAAGGGATACAAGGAGGGAATTAACATCCTATATTCAGCCTGAATCCCTTGCTGCTGCTTTCTTGACTCAAGCCTTGGTCCTAAAGTGCTTGCATTGCATCGCTGTCCTGGGAAGGCATGCCCAGAAGAAACAGTTTCTGCAATTGGTTCAGTCCACATGTAGCTCCTGGTGCCCACCAGGCACCCCCATTCCCTATTCCTGCCCTAGGAAATGGGGGTGCACGGTCCCGTTAGGCATCCACGCACAGTCTGAGCTCATCTCAGAACTCTGGCTCTTCATTTACACTTTGCCCAGCAATTCTGTTTCTGAAGAGCTCGTTTGCTTCTCCAACACTTCTTTTCCTAAGATGCTGCTAAGTCACCCTGCCCACGTAACTCTCGTCTCCCAGGAATTCAGCTGAGCCACGTCCCTTCTGCATGCAGCAGCCCAGACGCTGTGATATGGCCTCGAAGTAGCCAAGAATAAATGGAATCTTATTATTGTCCCACCAGAGACCAGCAAATGCACTGCTAAATCATTCCAGCAGCTTGCCTTTCTGATAAGGGTACATCAGATTCCCACAACAGCTCTGCTCAGGGATGGAGTGATGTCTGCAGAATGAATAGCAAGCTTACAGCTCCATCTGGTGAGTCAGCTAGCCAGCAACCTTGGCATGCTGGAATTAAAATACATTAAAAAAAAAAAAATCCCTCAACTGAATTACTCTCACAACCTGCATTTACAGGGCTTATTTCCAAAATAGAAGAAATGAATAGTTTGTCCAAAGAATGAGAACTGGAATATAATTATTGCTTATTCAGAAGTTACCAAAAAAAAAAAAAAAAAGGAAATACAACTGTCTCCATACAGCAGTTTCTCTGACACCAACTTAATGTTAGGTCAATGCCATCATAATTGTCCCACATTTTTTGTTGCTTTTTTTTTTTTCTTTTTTCTATTTACCAGAGTGGTTTACATTTAAATGTGTTTCTAGAGCTCCAGGGATATGAGAATACATCAGAGAAAGAACAGGGGCTGTGAGAATCCTGTAGAACAGCTGACAAAAATGAATGACATGGAAAATAAAATCTGTTTCAAGTTAAAGGCAGGCTTTTTCTCTCTGCTAATGTCCATCTGACCTTTATATGATTTATAGATTTTAATAATTGTTTGAGAATGGCATTGTAGTCTTTCAAATCCAACTCCTCATGAAAAAATAGCCCCCAAAACAAAACTACTGGGTCCCAAATGCTCATCCGGGTTCTGAATTGTAATGCCATATGCAGGATGCCTTAGCTAGCGCAGGAATAAGGCCATGAATGCTTACTTATAAGTCCTTTTAGCTACCTCCTCAGGCCTGTTCTATTTTCAGATCGACTCATTGGCAGAGCCCAGAAAGTAATTTTAGAAGAAACCTCTGTGCTATACTAAGTGAGATTCTGATAGTCAGTCCCTCTGTGCTAAAACTATTAAAATAAACTAGCAAAACTAATAAAAAAAATAGGGAAAAAAAGTTCCATTACTACCATCAGAGATTTAACTAGTTCTGGCCAAAAGAAGACAGCTCGGTAAAACTATTTAAATAATGATAATAAACATTGCGAATATCCTGTTGTGTTTTTTTTCTTGTTCAGCAGGAGGAAGCATCTGACACAAGTTTGTCTTTCAGCTCCAGGACCGTGTAGTGCTGTCACACAGAATGCTTTTCATCCTCAGAGCCTTCTATGGAGATTAATTCTCCCGGCACGGAGAGAGGTAAGCCAGATATACTCGTGTCTGGGAGAAAAATGTGTCCAATGCTAACACAGGCTCAAGGCTGAAAAATGGAATTGGAATACAATGTGTCACAGCTGCTAGTCTTGACTCTGGGTGCTGTTAATTCTAATTTAGAAAGAACTTTGCAAAATGTGTGCTTTCCAGCAGTGCCCCATTGCAACATCCTCCCCTTTTGCAGTTCAGAGGAGCATGCTACATGCAACATGGTTGCTGCCAAGGGGGTAGGTGTAGTCCTAGCTGCAGGACCAAAGAAAGGGTGAGGATGCACTCAGAAAATGTTGTTCTTGCTTTGAATTTTATTTCTAGGATATAAACTTCTCTCCTGAGCTTATGCAATGGCTGAAAGACTTAGCTCAGCACGAGGTACAGGGCGGATTTGTTTTTACACATATCATCATTTTAGAAGGCTTATTATGTAGCTGAACTTTCTTCTTTGTTCCTTGCTATAAAATGACAATAGCTGTCGCCCCCACTGTTCCCCACTTCCTAAGTTCTCTAACTCTTAAGTACAAAAACCCCAAGTTATTGCATTTTCTTACATTGTGCTGGATTTGACACGGTAGCTATCTTTGTTCTATGACAGATGCAAATTTTACAGAGACCCTACTTAGCCTATTCTAAAAGCAGAGCTAGAAATGGTTTCATTACTGAGTCACCCATCAGTAACACACAATAGGATATACGGTCTCAGAGCTCGTTTTTTTAAATCAAATTGAAATGGCGTTTTCTTTATTTAAATCCACCAAATAGTCCAAAATGTTTGTTAAATAAGCTTTGTTAGACTGAGATAAATGGGCCAGAGTATCACCAAAGTTACCACCAGAAGTAAGCAGGGACCTCCCAATTAAAAGGGCATACAGAACATAAGAACAAATTCCTTTATTTTTGATGTGGCAGTATTTCTTGATTTGTCAACACTTCATACAGTTCATTATAGACTCGTAGAACTGTACAAAAACATCACCACATAGCAAACAGACTCCACTTCAACAAACCATTTTGTTTTTATTCAGACAACTATAGGCCTTTTTGTAGTCTGTGCAATGGTAACGAAAGATCTAATGCCTAATATTTTCTTTGCTCTTTAATGGACTGGAATTTTTGAGTTCTAAGTAACAGCTCAAAGCCACAGTGCATGCACATGAATCTCCTCTTTTGTTTTTTTTTTTTATTTGTAGCGTGGACAGGCATTATGAATATATGGTGTGACATGAGACAGGAAAAAGATCTGTGCCCACAGTAAAAAAAAAATAATTAAGAGTGTGATTTGTAAATAAGACTACAGTATGGATGAAATATAATAGAATAGGTAAGGCCAGTATTCCTATTCCATAAACTATGTAGTATGGAAGTAGTAACCAGGAATTTTGAAGCAGCAAATCATTTAATCCCAACACAATGGGAGAAAGCAAACAGGTATGTAATTAGCCAGTGAAATTTACTACAGCTCATTATTACTGAGCCATTCTGCTTCAAAGCAAGCACTAAATACTGGCTGACTGTAGGAAGGTGAAAGGAAACAACCCTATGTATGCAGAATGTTCTCCAGTTGCCCCTTTAAAGGCCACAAAAGGCAAAGGGCTTCTTGATTTGGCAGTTCCCATCCTATGCAAGGAAACAGAAATAAGTCCTGTCTTCAGCCAGAAGAAACACACCTGCATTTTAATTTCAAGCAATTTATATAGCTATGTAGGTAGCAAAAAAAACAAATCAACTAGAAGAAAAACAATGTATGTCCTTTGTGATTCATTGTTTAGTGAAATGAGTGCACAAAACTGGCTCTGGGCTTACATGGATTACTAATACAATAGTGTTTCTAGTTAAAATAGTGTTTAGGTTTTAAAGATCTACATAAAAGCACAGAAAAGAAAGGAACACAAACATCTCAGGGTTTTGTCAGTTTAACCAACAATTCTAGGTTTGCAGTGGGAGATCCTCTGCATTAATAGTGCTACACTAACTGACAGGCACACACACCCCGAGTCAGGCACACTGTAAACAAAGCTTCCTCTCCCATCACTGCAATGACTCATTTCATCTCCACGTCAAACAGCATCAAGATATGATTTATTTTAATAAAAGGAAACGTTTCCTGTTCCACGTGGTACGTAACAATGTTCATTTCTATTTAATGGAACCATGCAAACAATGAAACCAGTCAGAGTGTACCAACAAACTGTTCTGTAAGCACATCTGTACTGCAATACTGGAAGGAATCTATGTATGTGATCGTTCCATTCTGCATTAATAAACAGCAACAGCAAAGGAGGGAGAGAGACTGTAGTTCAGTACAAACCTCAGGAGCCCTTCTATTCTGATACTTAGGACTTTTTCACACACCCAGTGCAAGCACTCCTAAATACAGACATTATTTCTTCCTTGCTGAAGTCTGATCCTCAACATTTACTCTACATTTTTTTCTAGTATGAGTTTAAAACAAAGATTAAAAAAGCATTTATCAGACTTTCATGTCAATCACAACAGCAAGAGGTACAAGTAGTCTTGGAAATACAGTGTGCATCAAGATCAGGCGCTACATGGCTTTACTACCACACACTGTGTATTGCATATATCCACACTAAACACAACACTGCATACTTCATTTCACAAGAGTGCACCTGTGCATTTGCATATATGCTTCTCCATTCCTTGAAGCTCCTACACTCAAACTTTAGGCACCTGTGTGCATGAAGAAGCTTTGGAAAACACAGTACTTCAATTAAGAGTGAGAGATGTGTTGTGGCTCTCAGCAAATGGTGCTCTGGTGGGAGAAAACACAAAGCTTAATGAGACAATGCAATGTCAATGCAAAGCACGTGTTATACAGTCTGCAAAGGGACTCTGAAATACTTGAGAAAACAGGCGTTATCACAGGAGTTGCCCCTCCAAACACACCTCTTTATTGCAACAGCTCCAAGACTCAAGTGACACCATTTGGTGCCGTCTTGAAAGACAGACCTACGGTTTGAGAAAGATACTTTCACTAGGTAAGAGCAGGCTGCCTGTCTCCCTCACATTCTGTGGCTTAGCTTGGGGGTAGGGAATCTAAAGCACTTAACACATCCTCTGGTGATTTGAGAAACTTTCAAAAATACTAGAGCGCTCTGTCTTAGGGCTTCAGTTTGCCCTCCTTCACTAATTGCTCATTTAGCTGGCAAAGCTGCCTTAGAAAGCCATCATTAGGGCCAATCTCTCGCTTCTGCCGGACAGTGACCAAAGCAGACTTGACATCCATGTTCTGGCGAAGCATGAGGTAGGCGATGACCAGGGTAGGAGAACGGCTGTAGCCCTCACGGCAATGCACAAGCACTTGTCCTGCAGGGAAGACAGGTCACAAGGTGGGTTATAATGGAATATGTGATTGAAAGGCAACATGAAATAGCTAGAGCTAGGATGTAAAGCGTAATAATTAGTTCTTCGGTAGCTTGAGGACTCTAAATTCAGAATGCTGCCAAAGCTATGTAAAACTTGGAAGAAAGGGGCTATCATTGTTGGTTGCTACTGGCTGTCATCACGAAATTTTCTGCATCTGTCATGCAGAAAAACCTAGTTCTACATCACTCTACTAAAACGTATTTGCTACCATATTACAAAGGCCAACCTTTGCCTGTCCATTTTTCTCCTATCTTTATATCTGAGAACAAATCCTGCCCCTAAAGATGACCGGTACCAAAGAGCACATATAAATAATTCAGTTTAAAATATGCTGAAGACAGCAACATGCTGTTTGTCATACTCTGCATCTCTTCAAAGACATCCAGCCTTTATGGTGCACTGCTGGCAATTCTTATGCTAACCCCATGTTGGATCCTACCTGGCTACTTCTCTGGCTGTTTGTGAAGTCCCACTAACACTCTTGTAAATGAAACCGCTGATTATGCAGCAACAAGAACCAGAAGTATCTAATCACACCACTGCCAGCACCAATAAAATGCTTCCAGCTAACTGATTAGGGAAATCATTCCTCATATTTATTGGGGAAATGCTGTAGGTTGGTGTCCAACAAGAATTAAGCAAGCCACTAATCCCCTTGAGAAATTTAACTCATTTTTATTGTTTCTCAGCTGTGTCCTCTTTGACCTGCTTTTCCAGACATAAAATACAGTCCCAGGCTACTCTCCAGGGCAAATTCTTTCCCGAGACAGGAGAACAGATGAACTGTACATACACTTTTTCATGATGACCACAACTTGCTCTGAACCACACTAGCAGAAAGCCTGTTACCACATTTGCTCTGAGCTGCAGAGCCTTTGCAGCTCAAGGCAAACCTCTAATCAGAAGCAAGTCAAACAGCTAAAACAATTTATTCTTTATATTTCCTGAGGGCCTGTAGCCATGAATTAGCAAGCTTTAGAGATCCTTACGCATATCTGTAGAAGAGAATTTACTTCCTCTATACAAAAGGGTTTCTAATCTTCCTCTGGGAAAGGCAGCAAGTCTTAGGGGCTGTCTTTAGTAGAGTTTCATTTAGCTACTTCCCTGAACTTCATGCAGCTACACTGCTAAAACAAAACTGCAGGAGACAACACCACTGCATCCCTCATTGCTTTGCTGTCCTTACTCTACACTTCACTGTCAAACAAGACTATCCAATTTCAGTAGGAAGTTAATCTTAAAACTGGCTCCAACATCACCCAGCCACAAGTTTGCTCTTTGTCTACTGCAGTAAGAAAATAGTGGCAGGCACTGTAGACAATATTAAGGCTGAAAGAATCACCAAGTAGAACCGGTACTGTAAATTCAGATCCATTCTGCAACTATTCAGAGGACTGCGATGAGTTTAACTCAGTGGGAACAGTCATGGCACAGCTGGCACTGTTAAAACTCTTCTTCCTGCTGCAGCCTGTATCACTTGGTCAAAAAGCTAATTGCAAGAGCTGTATGTTAATTCTCAGAATTTTTATACTTTACCAAACTGGAGGTAAAACTTCTCTCAATCTGTCCAAAGCACATCACAGCCCTAGCTCCCCTTTTGCCCA